CCTCCTTCTTTATAATATGTATAGCTGTTTCTAACAAATTCAATACGGTTTTACTATTAATGTTTACTGGCAATGACTGGATCTGAAGTTTGAGTTATTGTTGTACAGGATTCTGCGAAAGTGGCTGTTCTGCTATAGCAGATTCTGGAACATCTTTGCTTGCGGGTCCAACTGTAAGCAAGAATCTGAAGGGGTTCTAGTGGTTTCTTAAGACTAGTACTAGTAGTAATACACACCTACTTTTGTTTTTATGTGTGTAGACTGTAATCACCATGATAAACCATGCTATTGGAGCAGCTGGAGTTGTTAGCCAGCAGTGCAAGACTGTTGTGGATCAGTACGGACATACCATTTTGGATCTCCTTTTGTCTGAGGTAAATATGCTTTTGTGTTTGACAAATCTTACGCTGTGTGTGCAACTCGTGTTACGTAAATGAAATTAACTTACTGTTCCCCTTTCGGTTTGCAGACTCAACCTAAGAAAATCTGCTCGCAGATTGGTCTGTGCACTTTCGATGGTAAACATGGTGTCAGGTAAATTTTCCAATAGCTTCGTTCATGTTATAGAGAAGCTTGCAATTAAGTCCTTGATCTTCTTTATCTTTTTCTTTTCTACTTGATCTGCTGACTATTTACTATGGTCCTTTATTATTTAGTATGGGCATTGAGTCGGTGGTGGAGAAGGAAAACGCCAAATCCTCTAACGGTGTCGGAGATGCCGCTTGTTCTGCATGTGAGATGGCAGTTGTTTGGATACAGAGCCAGTTGAGGCAGAACATGACTCAGGAACGCATATTGGACTACATCAATGATGTAAAACAACAAGCTTCTTTTAATTACAGCATCTTTGACATAATCTGTTGAACCATTCTTGTCCTGATCATGTTTATTTGCTACCGTTGTTGATTTTCCTGAACAGCTATGCGATCGGCTTCCGAGCCCAATGGGAGAGTCTGCAGTGGACTGTGCACAACTCTCCACCATGCCTACTGTTTCCCTAACCATTGGAGGCAAAGTCTTTGATCTTGTTCCAGAGGAGGTATGATTGAGATCAAAATTCATATTCGTCACTTGAAAATTAACACCATTGTAATGTTTCGGTGCTGTGAACAGTATGTTCTGAAGGTTGGAGAGGGCCCTGCAGCACAGTGCATCAGTGGTTTTGTTGCACTCGACGTTGCTCCACCTCGTGGACCTCTCTGGTAAATATTTGGTTCTACACTGCAGAACTGTGGAACTGTTTCATCTCTGTTCTATCTCTTCTTTGTTTTCTTAACCGGTTGTTAAATTGTGACAGGATCCTTGGAGATGTGTTCATGGGAAAGTACCATACTGTGTTTGACTTTGGAAAAGAGCAGGTCGGCTTTGCAGAGGCAGTGTAAATACAGTTGGTGTATTGTTTCGGGAAAGAGAGACCACTGATGGCAGCACTGGCTTTGTAAATACCTTTTTAAAAATAAGAAAAATTCTACCTCTGGAGCCACCTGTCCTTGTTGTGCACTTGTGCTTTGTGATTAGTTGTTCAGAAGGACCGAGTGATATCAATGCGATTTGTCACAATACATTTCGGTTTAGTGGTAATCTTTAATGATAAATTTGAAAAGAAAAGCCACCTTTCGTGACGCATTAGTTTTGTTTTTGACTATTTTCCGAATAAATAATTAACAGTTGGACACAACAGAACATGTCTAAAATTAACATCCTACCCAATGGTTGTGTTTTAATCTCTTTATCTTCTTGTTGCTCCCCTACTCCAAGATGGAGGATGGCCAGAGACGTGTCCACATTTCAATCTCTTCTTTACAACTTAGCTTTCGGATTCCTCCATAGAACCCGTCTTCCTCGTTACCTTCCTCTCTATGATCCCTCTTGTTTATCATCGTTCTTCTCCACCTTGATCCCACTGTGTACTGGTTGAATTCCAACACCACCATCTCTGTTTTTAAAATTCATCCATAATACTTAACAATTTAGCCCCAACACAAGGTATGGATAGAAAATCGTTTATGCCATATGACGAGGGGTTAGGTATATAATCAAGATGCAAGTGGGCACAACACTATCCTTTTCTAATTGATTTCTACAATATGTGGTGATGCAATGTTCCAACAAAACAAGGAAAAGTAAATATATTGTTCTGAGTGATAAATTAACAAAGAATCATTGTTGAAGCCCCCACTACTGTTGGTAATGTGTAGATTTCAACATCAATACAAGACACATATTTATCAAAATGTCTAGCAAAGTCAAGACATAGCTCCATCATTTGTCTTATTTTGGGACCAATGATCGAGTTAGGTCTCTTCCATGTTCACTCTTTCCAAACTACGTTTTTTATGGGTTTTGTTGGCTGAGAAATGAGTAAAGAAAGCACAGAATGTGACACAGAACATGAAACTGAGAAGAAGAACTCACCATTAAGATGGCAATGACAATGGTTGATATTCCCATCACAGGATTCTAAGTGGCCAACGATACCATACCACCATCCTACACAACAAAAAAACATCACACAAGCTTCTTTTAGAGCCAGATTCTCTTCAAACCACTTCCTTACAAACTAAACTTATAATAACTTACCATAAGGGAACTGTTTGTTTCTTCTCCACTGAATCTCGATGTGATCTCCAGGCTTCAACTCGTTTAGTGAATCTGACACATGAAGATGATGGGGAGATGTATCATTGGGAGCTGCTCTTAGTCTCTCCCATGTCACACCCTTTTCAACCGCAACTGCTCTTCTACCATGCGGTGGATACCTTAAAAAAAAAAACAAATAGAATCTAGTTTATACTACTGACTTGTGATGAAGAGAACAAGCCAAGGATCGTGTCAAACATGATATTATATACCTGGCCTGAAAAGTATCAGTCAGAGTATCATAGCTGAGCTCCGCATCATAGCATGACAACATGAACCCTACATGCCCATTCTGCTCTTACACCAATAAGACACTACTTTAATGATCAAATCTAAGAAAAAAACTATGTTTATAAAATTTATTACCTCACGGTTGTAAACTTGAGCTGGGAACCAAAAACGACCAGTTTCAAGGGAGAGGTAGAAGCTCATGGTGGAATCAAGTGGCAGAGAAGAAGACGCATATCTCTTCCTCTTCTTATCATCCTCACTACGGAAAACAGATCGGATCAAAGAGATAATTTTGTCAAACCCAAGAGGATGACCAGTTTGGTGACTAGGAGAATCAAGATGACACGAGGAAGAGAGGTAGCATTTCCACTCTCTATGAGCAGCAGGGCCAAGGACTTTGCCCCATTTAGTGATCAAGTGTTTCTCCCAGAGATGATCACTCACACATCTCTCCCTCAAGGAGCTACAAACCCTAGCCATACTAGAGAGTCCAGAAGGTGGAAGGAGGTCGAGAATGAGATCCAGAGCCAGGTCAGGGAGGTCAAGGACTGACATTTGGTGGTCCACGGGAGAGGCGAGATCAGGTGTGGTTTGATGCAGAGGTCTGGTGAATAGGTTCTTTGAGAAGTAGAAAGAGAGCAAGGTTTTGGTATCAGACGCCCATGGAGGAAGAGAGAATGATTTGGACAAGAAAAAGAAAGAGAGACATGAGATGATAAAGTAGAGAAGCATTATTTTGTGTGTTTTACCTTTTGATCTGTTGTTGTTGTGTCTGAGAGTATAAATGGAAGGAGAAGAGGATAGATAGATAACCAATAGGAGTTGAGGGATTACCTAACTATCTCATGAAAACAATAAACAATGCTCTTTCTCTCTCTCAAGTTACTTTTTGGCAACTTGAAACTGAATGAAGTTGCCAAGTTTTGTTTTGAAACTTTTTTATAATGAAGTTGCCAAGTTGAATCGAGAGAGAAATAAATTTAGAAAGAAAAACCCTTATAAAGAACTCAAAATTTACAAATAAAACCGGAATAATGGTAATAAAGAATGTGATAATTACTAGTGTTTGAAAGAAAGGAATGAGATAATTACTAATGTTGTTAAGAAAAAAAGAATGTGACAATTACGCCGAAGGTGGTTGATAAAATTATTTTAATATGAATGAAAAAAAAGAAATTATTTTTTTAAAAGTGTCTAGTTGGTGGTGTTGGTGTCATTGGGATTTCCAAGGGCAGTGGGAAGAGAGAGAGAGTCGGATCTGGGCACCAAAAACAAAAGATTCATTGAACCTAAAATCACCAACAACTTTTTTTAAAGAGAAAGGTAAAAGAAAAACTATAGTATATTTTATTATTAAGAGACTGTTACAAAAACATAAACAAACCAATAAGGAAGATGAAGAAGAATGAAGAAGAGGAGGAAGAGTTTGGCCACCTCCACCTTCTACAGAAGAAACAGATTTCTTTCTTCTTCCTCTTCCTCTTCCTCTTCTTCCTCCCAAGGTCCCAATACCAAAACAACAAAAAGCTGCAAACAACCAACTCTTCGTCCCTTAATTCTCTCACGTAAAATAGCAAAGACTTGGGTTATGATAAGATGAGAGGTTGTTACTTATTTACCTTTTTTGTCATGAATACTTAGGACGGAGAGAGCAATTCCATTTCCATTCCATGTGTACCACAAAATCAGTCTTCAATACGTCTATGAGTTAACCTCTTACTTGATTTTCTATCTTACAATTCATATGAAGGAGCTGGACCTCCATTGCATTATTATTCTACAGTATACAACACGAAACAGTGTGAGAAAAAAAAAAAAGGAAAAGTGTTTTCTCTGCTATTAGGAGATGGGAACAAAGAGAGTCATAAGCTCTTTTTACCAGTAATGCAACTGTCTTAGATACTTGTCTTGTATAATCCAATCATCCAACTGTAGCGGGATTTATTGCCTTCCATGTGATCTAAAAAGCAAACCATGAATTGCCTTTTTGGCTTTTTACATAACCACTTCATTACAATGACATCACCAGATTGCAGCTTGTGTCTTCTTTCACCAGGACACTAGTCCCAAAACTTCTTTACAACCATCCTTCCTGGTCTGCCACTTACTTTTAATCTCTACAACATGTCTCTACAGAGCATTCCAAACGCACAAACATGACTACGTGCTCTACTTAATCCCTTTTCTCTTTATCATTTGCTATACTTAGCAACCGCCTTACAGGATCCATGTTTCCTGAGCTGCTACACATGTACTCCATGACCGTACACGTCAGCTCTTTGTCAAGAACAATATCTTTCTCCACCAGTTTTTCAACAAGTTCCCTCAACTTGTCTGAATCTCCCTGTGAGATACAATACTTCAACACAGAATCGCAAATATGAGCATCAGGCTCAAACCCACTCTCAACCATTTTGTCAAAGTAACCAATAGCCTCGTCTAAATATCCGAGTTTCAGGAACCTATTTATCAATTTCGAATAAGTAAACAAATCAGGAGAAAGACCAGCTTGAGACATCTCAACTAGAAGCGATTCTGCAGATTCAATATCCCCTGCTCTAAGACTTCCATCAATCATAATATTGAAAGAAACAATGTCTGGTAAGCTGTCATCACGCTGCATTTCCTCAAACAATCTCCATGCCTGGTCCAAGCTTCCCTCTTTGCACAATGATGAAAACAGACAGTTGTAGTCATAAACACTAGGACGTAGCTCAGACCCTCTCATTTTACAGAACAATCCTTTAGCAACATTAAGCATGCCGGTTTTGCAGAACCCATCAATCATAGTAGAATAGATATCTGAGTTTGGAACAGGGATCTGTTTCCAAAGCTCTATTGCCTTCTTAACATCTCCAGACTTTAGAGTGCCTTTAAGCAATATATTAGTAGTCACTATATCTGCAGCACCCAATCTCTCAACCAGCAAATCATAAAACTCCAAAGCTTCAGGGAGATTGTTTTCCTCACACAGCCCGTGGATTAACGCATTAAACGATCTAACATCAGGATCCGGATAGTTCCTATCATTCACCAGTAAACACAGAAGCTTGCTTGCTTCCTCCAACTCACCTTTGGCACAGAGTCCACCCAGTAAAATATTATACGCTATGATATCAGGTCTTGTACCCCTCTTCTTCATCAACTCAACAACCTCTAAAGCTTCCCCCACAAGGCCGTCCTTGCACAGCTTGGTAAGAATCACGTTATAAGTCACCACGTTAGGCTCTTCACCATTCTCCAACATGAGGTTCAAAAGCTGAAGAGCTTCCTTAGTCTTACCAACTCCACAAAGACCACCAATCAAACCCGTATAAGTATAAACATTCGGACGAACCCCACGCTCCTTCATTACCTGAAACATCTCCGAAGCTTCTCTCATCTGACCTAACTTACAAAACCCTTGGATAAGAGTGTTGTAAGTAATCGCAGAGGGAGAAAACCCTTTCTCCATAACCTCATCAAAAACCTCCTTAGCTCTATCCACCTCACCACAATCACAGAAGCCTCTGATCAGTGTAGTATACAAAACAAGATCCGGTTCCAAACCTTTACTAACTCTCATCTCTTTTAAAAAATCCATAGCTTCTCCCATCTTCCCATCTTTACAAAACCCATCAACAAGAATCCCACAAGTAACCAAACTCCAAGAATCCATCTCCTTAGCCAACTCCAAAGCTTTCTCCAACTCCTTCCCTTCACATAAACCTCTTAAAACAGTGTTATAACTCACAACATCAGGCCCAATCGAATTCAACTTCATATCCCTAAGCAAGGTAAGAGCTTTACCAAACTCAAGATTCTTACATAAGCCTTTCAAGATAATATTAACATTGTAAACGTTGAAAGTAAACCCTCGCTTGAGCATCACGGCCAAAACACCAACAGCGAAATTAGTATTGTGATGTAATTGGATGAAACATTCGAGTAATCCACTCAGGGAGACGAAGTTGATGAAAGCGTTGGTCTCAAGCATCTTGCGGTAGACGGAGAGTGCGAGCTTGTGGTTTCTGGAACGTACGAGAGACGTTATGAGATTGTTTCCGAGGGGAGAAATAGAGACTCCGGAGTTGAGTGCTTGCTGGAAATGTGAGACGGCGTTTTTCAGCTGAGGGTTTAGATTCTGAAAATCAGACAGGAGTGATTTGGTTTTGGTTTCGGTTTCGGAGAAGGGAGGAGAGGTGAGATTAGGGTTTAGGAGACGTCTGGTTCCAAGAGCTCCACGTCGGGAGAGTTTAGCGGCGGCGGATGTCATCGGAAGAGACTCGAGATTTCACTAAACCCTTTGTTATTAGTTTTGTGTCCAAACAAACACGCTAAATTTTTATTACAGTGGTTCTGCTTTTAATTAATACAGACAAAATTATCACGTTTAGTCCCTGTAATTTAAAACTATTAACAAACTAGCTCCATAGTTATAAATGTTACTGTAGCCCCCAAAAAGTGGCGTAAAAATCAAAACTTTGAAGCTCTTCTGGGAGTTTAGAGACTTAGGAAGATGTGGAAGTGGTCGACTGTTAAGAGAATCCCCGTATATGGAGGTTCATTCTTTTCTATGGTACGGATTGTATAAAGTCTCAACCTTTCGATTTTATGATTATTGTTTGTTGTTTTTATCTGATTTTTTATTCTCATTGAGTCTTTCTTTTATCTTTCCGAGCTTGATGGAAGTTGTTGATAGATGAGTGATTCAAAGACTGTTACTTGTTGTTATATATATAGTTGATTGTATGGTTTCTGTGTATTGGCATTGCAGAAACATATGGTGTTTGCTCCTGCTGATTTGAGCTGGAGCTGCTCTTTCTCGGCGATGCATTCTTTGATAGACACAGGAGGAGAAAACAGTGATAGTGTTTCCAAGTTCATCAGCAGAACTGATTACACGAACCTTTTGGACACGTATGGAAGAGATGGGAACCTCTCTGCTGCTTATGACTTGTTACAGTCCTTACAAGACAAGAACATTTGCTTCCCTGTTTCTGTTTTCAAGAACCTTCTTGCAGCAGCGGGTGAGCAGAATGATACAAAGCTCTCTTGCAGAGCTTTTAGATTGATGTTGTTCCAAGCGGGTCGGCCTTTGAGTTCAGATTGTTATCTCAACCTCGCCAGAGCCTTTATCAACACTGATGATTGTGTGCCTTTGTTGTGCCTTCTCAAAGAAGTGTCTGAGTCTTCTCTTCCGTGTAGGTTAATAGTAATAAACAGAACCATCCTTGCATTTGCCGAGTCTCGACAGGTCGACAAGGTCCTTATGATACTTGAGGAGATGAAAGAGTGGGAATGTAAACCAGATGTGATCACTTACAACTCTGTTTTGGATATCTTGGGACGAGCTGGCTTAGTCAATGAGATGCTCAGGTTATTATCATCTATGAAAGAAGATTGCGATGTGAGCTTAGACATCATTACATACAACACGGTGTTAAACGGGATGAGGAGAGCTTGTAGATTCGATATGTGTTTGGTGTTATATGAAGAGATGGTTCAGTGTGGGATTGAGCCTGATCTGCTTAGTTACACTGCTGTGATAGACAGTTTGGGTCGGTCAGGGAAAACAAAGGAGGCATTGAGGCTCTTCGATGAGATGAAAGAGCGGGAGATTCGACCATCAGTTTATGCCTACAGAGCATTGATTGATTGTTTGAAGAAGTCAGGAGAGTTTCAGATGGCGTTGGAGCTTTCAGATGAGTTGAAGAACAGTTCAACGTTAGATTTGGCAGGTCCACAAGATTTCAAACGATACTTGAGACCACATAGACGCTGAGAAGCCTCTAGCTTTAAGCAATTGTGTTGTTTCACTTGGGTTAGGCATATGTAATGAAATCAAACACACAATTTTGATTTTGGTGTTGATTTGAAGAACCTGATAGAATGACAATCAAGGTTTACAAAATGTATTGATATGACCAGTCTCATAAAGTTTGCATAACTACAAAAGTACAAAATGTGTCAAAAGTTTCACTCTGTAAGAAGAAAGAAGATTTGTGCCGGTGATCTGATATATGACCGGAGAAATCTGCTAGATTACGAAAATAGCCTCATGTTCCTCCTTTTCTTTACCAGAGCTTGTTCTTCACCCAGAAAAGAAGGAAAACGACACCGAACACGATCGCTACTGGTGCCCATTTCCGGATTAAAGCCTAGTTTACCAAACTCAACAGTTTCAGAACCATATGCAAAACAAACTTGAGCCTATAAACTAAACATGAGAGAATCTCTTAAGTCACAGTTCTGCCTGTGTAAGATAGGGAGTATACAATCAAACTCACCTGACGGTTCAAATCTTTAGCCTTATCAGCATATACACGAGATTCAGAAGTTAGCCGGCTCGACATCTCACTCACCTCTGCAATTAAAAACAAGAAGAGGAAATGGTGCATGATGAGCAATTACTCTACTGATTATAACAATTGTTCACAACTACTAGTTCCGATTCTGAATTATCATATGAGAAAGAATAGAAGGGGCTTACGGTCCAGCTTTTCACCAACACCTAAGACTTCCTGCACATTCCGCGTCATTATTTGGTGGACCTCATAGAGCTCATCATTCAGCTTAGCGATATTTCGTTGCGTACGAGTGTCTTGGTACAGTTTCTTGGTTTTCTGTATAAAAGTATCTACAACAAAGAATGTAGAGGGGGAAAGGAGTTAGAAACCAGAGAAGGTATGTTTCTACAAGATACTTAATGAAATGAATACAAAAGAGAATAATGTACACAGAACACATACCAAATTTAATAAAGGCATAAGGTCTAGCAGCTGTTTCAATGTTAGGCCCATTGACACGTTCGAACTCGTTCTTGAGATCTTCCAGGTATTGGAACGCCAGTTTCTTGGGGTAAGAGCGGTCACACATTGTCAAGTAGCAAACACGTCCTTCTATAATGTAACTAAAGTTCTCTCTGATCAAGGAATAGCACATTTATTTGATTCTTTCGTTCACCTTGGTTTCAAGATATAAGCCTATGCAAATGTTGCATATGAGAAAGAACATGCAGAAGCAACTCTTAATCAAACACCAACATGAAATCAAGCTTTTGCAAGCAAAATATGAAGAAAAAAAAAAACAAATAAGGATACTGGAAAACATAGGGGCCAGTCTCAACAGACATTCTTGAAGCTTCGTTATGACCTCTGGAAAGATTCTTAAACAGAGACTTGACTTGACTTGACTTGACCTCAGCTAGAGGCAGCCCGTCGGTAACCCGAGCTATCAATGTCATTTTCACCATCTTTTTGCCTTATTCCCTTCTTCTCCAATAACAAAATTCACTGCATTTGTCAAAGAATTTTCTAGTACATGATACAAACGAATAAATGTTTTAAGAGATACGAACTGGGTAACATGTTCAGGAATCCCCCAAGTTTCGATCACAAACGGAAGCAATCTTCGTAAAAAAATATCGCATCTATAACGAAAAAACTACAGTTGAACATGGGTTTGAAACTAACCTGATTCGAGTGTTCCAATGGTTCTTCTCAGGACAGGAGAAAGATGATGAACCCAAGAAAAATAGAATTACAGTAATACTTTTGATTTAAAAGAGGTTTATCATTCCATTCAAGGGGGTGAATTAAACTTCACGATCTGACATTTCATTTTAGTTTTTACTGTTGCTGGAAACGTTATTTATGACACAAGTCACACAACCTACGTTCTGCGTTACGTCGCAACCCCCATTCGGTGATTTTGACATGTCTTGATGAAGTGGCGCGTTTGATTCAGCTCCACTAACGCTGCGTTTATTTTCGTCGACGCTTCTAAGCGTTTACCTCAGCCGATTGTATGGTATGGTATTTTTAATAAGTTCAGTGTTCTCGTCTAGTTTAATAAGCTCAAGAAGATCAGCAGGTGGAGGTAGCGTGATGGCCCGTATGCAATGGAACCCAATGTACTAATCGACTTTGGGGACATGTGATACAAAGGACGTTTGATATACGAGTTGTAAGGTTAGATGGAGAAAGGATTCAAATCTGATAAAACACGAAGTAACTCGGTACATCAAAGGCCGAACATAGTAAAAAAAACAGTCTACAAACTTCCCATCACGTCACGTGAAGGAGTATCGCCAAAGAAAGGGTTTCAAATCCCAACAAGAAAATTTATTCGAAAAAAACATCAAATTAACACACCATTACATCCTTCGACATCTTCTTTCTTTTCAGAGCTTTAGGCCTTGGACATGTGGATGATCAAGTCAACCACACGGGTACTGTAACCCCATTCGTTGTCGTACCACGACACCAGCTTCACAAAGTTGTCACTCAATGCGATTCCAGCCTTTGCGTCGAAGATGCTTGACCTGTTGTCACCAACGAAGTCGGTCGAGACAACATCATCCTCTGTGTAACCAAGGATTCCCTTTAGCTTCCCCTCAGATTCCTCCCTGTGTACATTGGTCACAATGCAATCAAGTTAGTCACCTTACAAAGGATATGATGAAACTACTGAAAGATGTTAACTGGAACCGAAAGCTTACTTGATAGCCTTCTTGATTTCGTCGTAGGTTGCAGCTTTCTCGAGTCTAACAGTGAGGTCAACAACCGAGACATCAACGGTGGGAACACGGAAGGACATACCGGTCAACTTTCCGTTGAGCTGTGGAAGCACCTTTCCGACAGCCTTGGCAGCTCCGGTGCTGCTGGGAATGATGTTGAAGGAAGCAGCTCTTCCACCTCTCCAGTCCTTGGATGATGGACCATCAACTGTCTTCTGAGTAGCTGATATCACACAAACAAATAGAAGTTTCAGTTTAGGAGGTAACAGATTTTCGTTAGTTATAAAATGCAATTTATATATACCAGTGATAGAGTGGACGGTGGTCATGAGTCCCTCGACAATTCCAAACCTGTCATTGATAACCTGCATAAACAGATTGCAAAATTTCAATACAAGATTCATTTTGAAAATTTCACAAGTCAAATTTTTAAGGTTAAAGAAAAACAAAAAAATAGACCTTGGCAAGTGGAGCAAGGCAGTTAGTGGTGCAACTAGCGTTGGAAACAATGTTGAGATCAGACTTGTACTCATGCTCATTAACACCAACAACGAACATGGGAGCATCTTTGCTTGGTGCAGAGATGACAACTTTCTTGGCACCACCCTGCACACACACACACAAAAAACACGAACCATATGAGTTACTTATCTCATAAACAAATGCTCTTTATAAACCAGATGGTGCATAATAAACAAAGCAAACCTTCAAGTGAGCAGCAGCCTTGTCCTTGTCAGTGAAGACACCAGTGGACTCAACAACAAAGTCAGCTCCAGCCTCACCCCATGGGATATCCTCAGGGTTCCTTCAAAGTAACATATTATAAGTCTTCATAACATATAAACATAAATTGAATATATCACACAAGAGATCTATGTATACCTGATGCCGAAAACAGTGACAGGCTTCTCACCGAAGAGAAGAGTCTTCTCATCCTTAACCTTGAGCTCATTGTGCTTCCACTGACCGTGAACACTGTCATACTTAAACATGTATGTCTGCAACACAATACACAAATAATCAATTAAACCAAGTCATACATAAATCAAATCCGGTTTTAGATCTATGTTGACTAACATCTAAGCTATTAACCAATCAGGATCGACCTAGCGTCGAAGTAAGGAAACTAACCATGTACTCGGTGGTGATGAAGGGATCGTTAACAGCGACGAGCTCAACATCGTTCCTCTGAAGGATAACTCTAGCCACCAAACGACCGATTCTTCCGAAACCTTCACGAAGATTCAAAACTCAGATTCAACAGATCTAAAGCTAACAAAAACCTAAGGAAAACGATTCGAAAACAATACTCACCGTTGATTCCGATCTTAATCTTCTTGTCAGCTACATAAACAAAGGAGAATCAAACACACACGATCAGATTATAAACTAAAAGCAAAATAATCAACGATGAAACTAGAGATCGAAGATACTCACCCATTTCGAAATTAGAGATCACGAGAGAGAGAGTTGTCGATGAGATCGAGAGAGTGAGTGAGGGTTTGGTGAGGCTTTGGGGGTTATTTAAAGGAGAGATGATAAGAGAAAGTGATCGAAAATATTGATCGTGTGGCTGAGAATTTTTCTTGGGGAAAAAGGTTAAAGATTTAAGATTCAGTAATTATTTGTTACCAAATTGTCCATTATTTTAAAGATTATTTACCGTTTTGGCCAATTGTTTATGGTAGGATTAAGAAGTAATCGGGGAAACTAATGGCTGTTGGACTTCACGTAAAAGTAATGGAATATTCGAGGTTTATTACTCTGATCATATGGGCCGGGCCGACCCAAGCAGCAGGTTTTGACAATACCCTTATTATTAGCTCATCCAATGAACATATACCACGTAGCATGTCCAACATATTATAAAAAAGATATATAATGTCGTAAAATTTTGTTTTCTTGTTGATAATGCATATGATATGATAGCACAACTTTCTTCAAACTTTTTTGTAATTTTTTAAATGTTTTCTTTTTATTTTACTTAAAAACGTTTGCATCTCCACCTAAATTCCACATGTATCATGTATACTCAACCTGTAACATATGATTCCACAGTTTTATAGATCATTAATCAAAACATTTAGCTTAATATATGATTCATGATAACACTGTTCTGTTTACTATGTTTTCAAGGTGGGAATTTTCTTTTTTCAGTTTTAATACACGATATACAAGGTGGTATCACTATATTCAAGCTAGTTTTGCTTTTACTAATTACAAGGTGTATCAGTATATCATATATGAAGTTTCTAGCCTACTAGATGTCGCTATCAGAATAAGTTTGCGTTCTTGATATCCAGATATTTTATAAATGTGGTGTTATATATTCATCAAATCGTGACTTCATGTTGAGACACATAGATGCTCCACTTTCAGAGCTTTGGTTGGTCAGATGAACGTGACAGCAACAAATAAATCGACTTAATGCAATATGGTATGACTCTTGGCTTTTGCCAAAAGTCTCCTCTTCTCCACCTCTTATTTTCCTCTCTTTAGTTTCATTTCATTTTCTGTTAGGTGAAACCGTGAACGCATATAAAAATCTTTAATCCGGTATACATATGGATTGGATCCTTACATCCTAGGGTATAAAGACGTATATATAAACTAAAATATTTATCAGTGGTCAACAGTATATCATTTACAAAATTTTGAGATATTACTAGTACCACCTGTAGATGTATTTGTACACATAAAACACCTTCAAGTCAAGTGTGTTATGAGTCTATGGCGTATACTTTAGTGGTTGGGTTAGTATAACCATTGTGTCATAATTCGAATTCAAATTTTTCCTGTCAATGTAAATGTTTACTATGTATGATCACAAACATTTAGTTTTTTTTTTGGGGTAAATTCAATCACGATAGTTTCTTAAGAAATAACTAAAACTTATCAGACAACTCTTTTCATTACGTTGAAATTAATTTGAGACTCTAGTGTGTAAGTTTCTTAATTCTTGATTATTTCGAGTTATCTTGTGAATTTTCTTATATGTTGTTTCTAGAAATTCATATTGTTATTTCTAGCTCCTATCTCTTTATCTTGAGGAATGTTGAGTTGTCGCACAATGTTCTAATTGATGGTAAAGGAGAAAAGAACAGAATAATACCATTATCAAAGTATATGTTAAAATTCGATTCTCAAAAAAGAAAGAAGATAGATGCAATTATTGATGCAAACAACCTGGACAAAGGAATATGATTGGTGCAAACTTTAACTAATGGTATCTTTATCCATGTAGATCTGATTACAAGCAATGTTAGTCAGACACGTGACGGATTTAGATCTTGATAAGTTGGGAACTAAACTTTTTTTTTTTTTTTTGTAACTGATTGGGAGCTAAACTTGAGTTCAGTGTTTTAATTAGGTCACTTCTATTTTCAAACCTTGTTTATTAAATGACAAAAAAGCTCACGAGATTCCACTAATCGTTGAAGTGGGATGCCAGTGGCAACTCGAGAAAATATTAGACAAAATACAACTTCTGAGGTCTTAATTAGGAGAGGTGGAACTTCCGAACTGAAACAGAGAGTATGGTTGTTGAAACTGAATTAGAAGTTAAGGTTTTGTCTCTTGATATATTCTCATCTCCTTTCACAGTGTCTCATGAGAGAAAAGGCGATAAGGAGATCATGAGGGAGATTCAAGCTATAACAAGACAAGCTAACTTACTTGCCATGTCTTGATGGAAACATGTAAGAGAGACTTTCACATACAAAGGTGAACAAAAAAGTGAGTTTTCTGTAGATTCACACACTCTTGCCCCTCCATCTCTTATGTTCTTCCAAAATGTAACAGACAAACATACTACTTGAGGTCTTATTAGCCTATAATGTGAATCCAAAGTTGTACATTCTTCCCAGGGGAAACAAAAAAAAGGTGGAAATGTACAGAGTGCATAAGAATATACATTTATTTACAGGGGAAGTTCTGTCATTAAATTAGCCGTTGATGGGACTTGGACAAGAGGTAACGTGATCACATTCTCTCTCTCACTCCTCGGTACACGGCACCAGACTGAAGATCATCCATGTTGTCTATGTTCCTGAAGCCATCAACTTGTAGACATATCCACCCTCGTCTAGCCAGAAAGTCGCGGTAATCTTCTTCCGTGTAGAATATTTTCTCTTCTGTATGGACTGGTAACTGGTTGGATTCATCATAATGACAAACCCTAATGGCCAATCCTGCAAAATAGGTTTTGGATATTGAGCACTCAGCATAAGTATAGGAATGTGGTGGTTAAGTTTTACCATCATCGACATGGAGTAGATAGTTCCCTAAGGGCATGTCTCGGTCAAGACAACGAACAACCTGATCTTCATCTTCTAACCAAAACGCCCGCTTGGTTCTTAATCTAAAAGCAGATTTGATTGTCTCTTTGATTGCTTCAGCGGTGCCATCAACACCGATTCTTCTTGTATAGTCGCCAAATTTCACAGTTATGACTCTCCCACCAAAAGGCTGATCATGAGCATCACCACCTGCTTGTACAAACATTCAAACAAAGAAAAAAAAAAAGCTCTAATTATTCATAAGAGACGGACAAAGATCAGTCAAGCAGAGTAACAGAGGTTGTAATTGATTTTGGTTTACAAGAGTTAGAAAGCTCAGGTTCTCTTACTTACTACACTATACTTGGAACATAAAGTTCAAAAAAAATCTTTGGTCTTTTTGGCTAATTTTTTTTAAGGCTTAAGTTATAAGCTTTCTCTGAGACTTACCGTTTCCAGGGGTATCTCTCCAATTCCAAGGAGGAACTCCATTTGCTACAACAGCATCAACTGTAGTGATTGCAAGAGGATGACCATCATGATCAAGACGCCTCTCAAGGTTTAACGCCGGCCTGCCATTAGCTAGAACATAGATAGAAGTAAAACCTTATCAAGACACATACACATCATCTAGAAACCAAACCAAACCAACAAATAGAGAAGCAAAGTCTGTTCCAACTACAGATAAATCAGATTACATATAGCTTTCCTCCCTCATATGCAAATCTTTGTACCAATCCCAAATGTTCACAAAAATAAGTTAACAACTCTAGGATAGCTCACTCAAGTAGAACTTCCACACCAAATTAAAAGATAAGCTTCAAAAGGCAATGAACGAACAGAACCTCGCCTCTTTGTACACAGTAAGATACAATAACAAGTTATAGACAAGATCAGTACCTTCAACGGATCCAAAAGAAATGCTCGGATCGTCAAAACCTACGATTGAATATAAAGTCACCACATAAACCAGATTAAGTACAAAAAGTACAATCTTCTCGAAAGCTTAAAGAAGCTATATTAAGAAACATACTATAAAATGCCTCTCCAACTAGTATCTTCTCAACCTAAGCATTGCCCAAACTGTACAACTATCTTATCAATACAAACCCTAACCACATAAGAACTTAAGCAACCCTAAATATAGCACAATCAAAGTTGTTACCTTTATCACTAAACTGCATAAAGGAATCAACTTTAGCAATGGGAGGCGTCTCAGGACTCTTGCTATACTGTGTCGTCACTTTCTTGCTCCTCTCCCTAAGAATCTCTTCAATCTCCTTGTAATAAGACATCTTAGCCGAAACATTCCCTCTGTCATGATGCTTAGCCTTCTTATACTCCTTCAACAGATTCCTCCACTTATCCGTACACATAGTCGGAGACCGATCGAACCCTCTCTCTCTCATCTTCGCCGAAATCTGCTCCCAGAGATGCTTGTTGGATTTGGAGGTGTTGAAGAGACGGTCCATGCCTCGACGGAACTTGATTAGGGAACGAGTCTCGTCTTGGACCCATGTCTCTGCTCGTTTCTTGGGAGGTTTGACTTCGTGGTCCTCGCTGCTGCTTTCTCCTACGAGAATCTGTTGAAGCTGGAGATGATTGTGGTTGTGAGGGTTTAGATCTTCATCGATAATCATGTCGCGTGCGGTGGTGGAGGGGTTGGGGTTGTTGTCGTCTTTGTAGAAATTATTAGGACGAGGTTTGTCGGAAATGAACATTGCTGTCTTTACCGGAGACGGAGAGACAGTGTTTGTTGCTTGCCACCAATACAAGCCACCGAGCGCAGAGAATATGTGGCGACCGCAGCTACTTTTTTTATTTGGTTTTTGATAATTAATTAATTTGGGGGTTTTTATTATTTTACAAACTTGTGTTTGGATAGCTACTAAGTTTTAAAATTATAAAATATGAATATGAATTAATATGTTTTTTTATTGTTAAATTACAAGGAATATTAGTTTCAAATAATTGGGTTTTAGTCTACTATGTTTTGAGGGTTTTATTTGATTAAAGTAATGTGAAAAAACAAAATTACTGATATTTTGTTTAAATTTAATAGAGAAATTTTTTAAAGTAGACCTTAAATTTTTTGTCACAAATATAGATTTTAAAAATAAAATTAAATTTTTATGAAAAATAAATAAATATATATTTATATCTTTTGGATTAATTAATCCTAGATTTTTTCTTTGTTTAAAGTTGAGAAATGAGGTTTTGGGATAATATTTCAAATTTTTTTTAAAAAAATCAAAATTAAAATGTTCTTTTGATAATTTTAGTTTTTGTGATCTATTTTTATGATAAAAACGTTTATTTGAGAGACTTTGCAAAATTAATATCTCTATAAAACATTAAAGAGAATTTTTTGGGAGAATTTCAATTATACCACTTTGGTGGTATCACTTTTCATGTTTACGAACATTTTCAAAAATACACATTTTATTAAACGATAAAAGACTCTTATATCCTTGTTCTTTATATATATACATAAAATAAATATTAAATAAAATATTAACCCCAAACCCTAAAACATCAATTCTAAACTCTAGATCCTAAAAAGTAAACCTTAAACCCTAAAAATCAACCCTAAACCCTAAAATATCAATTCTAAACCTTAAACTCTCAACACTAAACCCTAAAAAATAAACCCTAAACCCTAAAAAATCAACACTAAACCCTAAACTATCAATCCTAAACCCAAAACTCAAAACCCTAAATTCTAATAGTATTTTGACTATTAAAACTTTAATGGTAAAATTGATTAGTGTAAAGTTGAAAATAGTATCTTGAAAGTGTTATTTCTGGCAATTTCCCGAATTTTTTTGCTAGGGACATTTTAATTACATTGAACCAAACACTAGCTATCAAAATAGGAAAAAAGGTAGACAAGAACAAACCAAGCATATGATAAAAACGAAACCGTGGGTCATATCAATCAAACTTAACTTTCGATTTTAATGAAACAGACAGGTCCAATAATACTCGATTTCCTTTCAGAATCTCATTATTTATCATAAATTAATATTTTCTAAATCAATAATACTCTAAACCGAAATCAAGTTCGTCTTCTAATAACCAATTTCATTAAGGCAGTGTTAAAAGTTTAGTTTAAGACATATTTAAAGTGGTGTCCGCTTTGAAAATAATACAAGTGAAACCTGGCAGGCCAGACCAAACACACATACAATAACAATATTAAAATTTAATTAAAATTAAAATAAAATAGATTTTCGAGTTTTGATTAGCCATCGGAGAGAAGAAGAAAGAATGATAGATAACTGGATCACGAGAGAGGCCAAAGAAGCAGAAGAAGAAAATAAACTTAAAAAAGGGAATTTTTCTTTTTGTGTTAAGTCAACAATCAATGAAGCAAAGAGGTTTGTGTTGTAATCGGCGATTTTTGTTTGATCTGTTTTTTTTCTCATCAACTTTCCCCAAAATCGCATTTTTTCTTGTTTCAATGTGTCTCCTTTTTGAATTTTTTTTCAGAATCTAACCCGAAAATCGCATAAAGTTTAATACTTTGGGATTTTTGCTGGAGAATTTAGGGATCTCTCTGTCTATATTTTCAGGTTCGTGTTTTTTTTTTTTTTTGTTATAGATTGTTTCCTGTATTGAGAAGTTTAATGAGATTTGTTTTTTCTTAGGGTTATTAAGTTATGTGGAAACAAATCATAAGTAAGCTTCCTAAGAAGTCTTCTTCAAAGAACCATTCTTCCTCTAATAATGCAACTGCATCTACTTCCAAGACTAGTAGTGACAACAATGTCACAGGAAAGTCTCACTCCAAGAACGCTTCCCCTTCTGCAAAGCCTGCAACTTCTCCTCCTGATCCAGCCTCTAAAGATGGAAACTTCAAAGGAAACGGGGTCTACGAAGCCCTACCAAGTTTCAAAGACGTTCCAAACGCTGAAAAGCCAAACCTGTTTCTGAGAAAACTCACTTTGTGCTGTGTACTGTTTGATTTCTCTGATCCAACTAAGAATGTTAAGGAGAAGGAGATTAAACGGCAGACGTTGCTTGAGTTAGTTGATTACGTGGCGACTGCTAATGGGAAGTTTAGCGAGACTGTTATCCAAGAAGCGGTTAGAATGGTCTCTGTTAACATATTCAGAACGTTGAATCCTCAGCCACGTGAGAATAAAGTTATTGATGCGTTGGATTTGGAAGAGGAGGAGCCTTCTATGGATCCTTCTTGGCCTCATTTGCAGCTTGTCTATGAGCTTCTCTTGAGGTTTATTGCTTCCCCTGACACCGAGACCAAGCTGGCTAAGAAGTACATTGACCAGAGTTTCGTCACACGGTTGCTTGATCTGTTTGATTCAGAGGATCCTAGAGAGAGAGATTGTCTTAAGACAGTTCTTCATCGTGTCTATGGTAAATTCATGGTTCATCGTCCTTTCATCAGGAAGTCTATAAACAATGTTTTCTACAGGTTTGTTTTTGAGACTGAGAAACACAATGGGATTGCTGAGTTTCTTGAGATTTTGGGGAGTATTATTAATGGGTTTGCTCTGCCGCTTAAGGAAGAGCATAAAGTGTTTCTGGTTCGAGCTTTGATACCGTTACACAAACCGAAATGCTTGCAGATGTATCATCAGCAGTTGTCTTATTGTATCACGCAGTTTGTGGAGAAAGATTGTAAACTTGCTGATACGGTTATTAGGGGACTGTTGAAGTCTTGGCCCGTCACGAATAGTTCCAAGGAAGTCATGTTTTTAAATGAGTTAGAGGAAGTTTTAGAAGCTACTCAGCCACCTGAGTTCCAACGGTGTATGGTTCCTTTGTTTGGCCGAGTTGCTCGGTGTTTGAACAGTCTCCATTTTCAGGTAACTATTGATAGAATGTGTATTGTCTGATAGATCAAAAGCTTGGTGAGTGTTTCTGTTAGTTAGGCTACTTGTTGAGTCTTGTTCTTGATGTTGTTGTGCAGGTTGCGGAAAGAGCTTTGTTCTTATGGAACAATGATCATATCGAGAATCTAATAAAGCAGAACTGTAAAGTTATTCTTCCTATCATTTTCCCTGCATTGGAGAGAAACACTCAGAAGCATTGGAACCAAGCTGTCCATAGCTTGACGCTGAACGTGCAGAAGATATTTAATGACAATGATCCAGAGTTCTTCAAGGAATGTCTTACCAAGTTCAGAGAAAGTGAATCAAAAGAAGCTGAAGTCGAAGCAAAACGCCAGGCGACATGGAAACGTTTGGAAGAGATTGGGATGCAAAAGCAGAAGAGTTCTTCGTAATGTTGCTTAGTTGTAGAGAGAGAGGTTTTGGTTTTTGTAATTTCGCTTTTTACTACATTGGAATATTGGTTTTTCTTTTTTGGTATTCTCTCCAGAATACTTAGTGAGAACAAGTTTCAGTTTCAACTTATTTGAGGAGATGCAAAGATGTAAGATCATTTCTTGTTTTTACTTTCTTCTTTATTTATGGTAAGCCTTTGAGTTTTGCAGATATGTTGAGAGCTTCAAGTCTTTATAACACATGAAAGTTCCATAGAGATTACATCAAATGAACACACCAAAAGTTGCACACACAACACACAAAGAACCTCAATTCCACTTGCTCTTCAACTTATCAACATGTTTAAACTCATATGTCAACAAGCAGCTCCCATCAATTCTCCTCAACTCAAAGCTCTCTACCAACACATAACATCGGTAACTCTTCCAATACGGTCCACCGCCTTCAAACCTCTCTGATCTCTTAATGCTAGACGTTATCTTAGACCAGCCAAACCTCTCCTCTTCCCATTTCATCTGCTCCAAGACCACAGAGCCAAGACCTATCTTCTCCTCTGTCCCTGAGACACTAAACCAGACAACTTTATCTGAGTCCACAACTTTTGACTCTCTTGCAATCTTCTTCTCTCCTCCAAGCTTGACCACTTCTGTTTCCACCTCCACATCAACCACAGCTTCAAACTGATTATTCTCAACGTTTTCGTATAAGAAAACCTCTTCAAATCTTTGGTGAAGTGTCATGCTGTAATACATGTTACTTTTCATCTGATCTTTTCCATCTCCTTCCTTTACAAACAAGAACGGAACATACCATTTCCCAACTACAACGCTCTTATCAAGATCAGGAAGCTCGTAACGAATCTTTGCATCTACAACTCCCTTTGCATCATCAACCAAACCAAAGTCTTCAGAAGATGAGAAAGGAACCGTCCAGCCTTTCCTCCTCAGGAACCGTGGTGGTATGCCGTCTGAAGCAACAGATGTGGCGAAGAACTTACTGGTTGATGATCCTCTTTGATGAATCTCAAACTGTTGGTATATGTCATAAGGATCTAGAGGCCTTGGCGTAGCGTTGGGGATATAAGAGAAGCAAAAGCAACAAGGAGCTCTGTCTCCTTCTTTTGAACTAACACATGCTTCTCTGCAAATTTAAAGACAACATAGATTAACGGTTTTACACTTGCTTAATCATCAAATAGATTCCATTACCCTGTGTGTTTCCCACGTCGCCTTATAACATAGTAAAGATTTGAGGAAGGAGGTTGATGAAGAACAGGAATGAACGCAACCGAGTCAAGCAGGACAATCCTGTCATCTCCTCCTATGTTGAAAACCATAGCTCATGTAATAAACAGACAAAGAAACATAACACAAATTGGTAAATTAACAGAAAAATAACTAACGTCCTATTTGGTACTTGACGGTGAGTTTTGCGTTCTGAGGAAACGGCAGACCGTGAAGATCACAGTCAAAACATTTCCCAAAGCAACACTTGGGCTGTGACTCTTCGTCTTGGATCACCAACACGCCTGAGTTTGGACCATGTGCTTGCACTGTTAGCTCAGATGGGTTTCTCTGGTATTCAGTCAAACGCTTTGTAACATACATATCTGATTGTTTCTTTGTTTCTCAAGATCTATCTTTGTCTCATCGTTTATATAAACAAAGGATCACAAGAACGTGCAAGGAAGTTTACTCAGGTGTTGTTTATAAGCTAATCTTTGACCCAATCTCAGGTTTGACTTAGCATTTGTCAGATACCCATGTGGATGATCTCTACAAACATAATATTTGATTGTTTATTCACCCAAGAGGTTTAATGTAAGAACTGATAACAAATTTAACTGTAAAAAAATAATAATATTGATCCGATGGAAGCTCACATCATTGAGACTCAGACAGAGCTTTTATAAAATAATTTTCATATTTTTTTTGTCAACATGCATAAAGATTATACAAAGTTCTACATAAGTTCACCTATCCTCTGATCAAACAAAAGACAAGAATGAACAAAAAAGAAATACATAACTGATCTAAACCATATTGATCATTCGCCGTATTGATCCAACGGTCCACAAAAAAAAAAAAACAGAACTGTTAAGGTTTCTTCTTCAAGCTTCTTTACGAGTGATCCTGTGGACAACAAGAAACAAAAACCAGAAATATAAACGTTAATTTGTTATGTTTGCAAAGCAAGAAACGTGCTCACAGGTTTTGATCAAAAAACTTCACCTGAAGCAGTAGATTCCAAGAGCATCAGTGATCTCATGGATGACAGATGTGGCAAAGTGCAAGTATAATGACACTGTTTTGCATCAATAAAAAACGTTAGTTAAGAGAAGAACAAACATGTAGCTAAGTAAAGTTTTAGGAGCAAACCTGTGAATACACAGTAGCCAAGAAGAACCCATAACTCATCGACTAGAGGAACCCTGAAAGACGCAAGTTTGTCAGTTTATAAAGACAAAAGAAACCGATGTAAGTTTCTGCAGAAGAATGTAAAGATTGAAAAGTACACATACCCAGCATTCAATCTTGCGGTTAAAGCGTTTGCAAGGGCAAAGGGAAGATAGACTAGAGACTGCATTTTGAATTTAAAAAAAAAAACATAACATGAGGTTACACTTTCCAAAACTTGGAGAAATTGGTGAGAGATAAAGGTATCTGATTTACCAAGCACATGTTTGTTTTCAGTCCTTTCGGCTCATCACACAAGTGAGCAAGAATCATTCTTCCCTGAGAAACAAAAACATATAAACCTTTTGAGTTACAACTTTTTGGATGATCAGTAACTAAGAGATCAAGAGTTACCACTAGAAATCCAAATGCAAGGCCAGTTCCAAGTACAACTAAGTGAGGGTATGTTTCTATGAGATTGATTGGAGACAAGTAATCCCTGTAGAAAACAAAATCCAAAAAAAATTCAACAACAAAGGAGAGAAAGATCGCAAGTCCTTTTCGGATGGGCATAAAACAAGACTTACCATATCAATACACCTCCAAGAAGAACCACGAAAGGATAAAGCTGCATCCAAGAATCAAACAGAACATTAGTTCTCTGCAGTTTTGTAAAAGCTGTGTTTCTAAAGCAACTGGTTAGGAGCTTACCATAGCTAATGCTAACAGCATGCTCCCTTTTCTTGATTGAACAACTTTGTAGACATTTGACACACTGCAAAAATGCAACCAGCTTCGTAAATAGGAACTTTCAGCTTAAGAAGAACCTAAATATATCACTAACCAATACTCTCTTTTTTTTTTCATTTTTGGGAAACAAACACTGAATCATGTGACGAGAATACTGTTCTTTTTAAAAATCTTCATGTAATTTATTACAATTGAGTATTAAAGTCATCTCACTCACTTGAATGCGACGGTTGGTATAACGGCAAAAGCGATCATCATGAATAGGACTACTCTGGAAGTTTTGATCGCTACAACATACGACTCAAAAATTAATCAAACAGCAAAGGTACAAGAAATATTGGAGGAAAAAATACAATAGAAATATATGTTTACCATTAACAAATGGAACCCAACTAAACAATGGTATAGACTGCCCCAATTGCTGAGCCCACCATTCAGCACCTTTAGAAAATACCAAAAAGAATAGATAAATAGTGGAAGTAAAGAACAAGCACAACTATAAAAAGACATTGGTCTGAAATGAAAATACTTAAGATTGGCCAGCCATTATCAATAGCGGCAAAGTTTTGAAGGATTACAGACAAGAAAGAAGCATACCGACAATGGCTGTGAAAAAGTGGCTGACGAATATAAGTGCAAGACCCTCTGTAGGTCCATTGATGACCGGAAGAATCAGTGTGTTGGTGAAAAAGCTAGAGAATTGTTGAGTAGAAAATCTTAGAACGGATCTACCATTTTTTTACAAAGATTAACGTGTTAAATAGACATAAGTAGAAGTTAGAAGCAGGACTTACTGCTCCCATGTAGCTCCATAGAACGGAATAGCTGAAATAACCCAGAACCAGAAAGTATCTCTTCCACACATTGCCGTGCTTCCAAATGCCATAGCTTCAAACTGTTTCATTGTAAAACTTTCAAACATCAATTCCAGGACGACTAAGAAGTGAAAGAATAAAATAGGATAGTTACATACCGCACAAGCAAGTGCATCACAACCTGCCAAATGGAGCACATGTCAACAAAATCTAGAAAGAAAAAATACCGAAGATAAATAAACACATGAGAAAAACAAATCACCATGATCGAAGAGCTCTCCTAAGGGGCTAGAGGAATTAGTCCTTCTTGCTTGCTTCCCATCAACAGCATCAAATGTCTAATAAAATCTCAAAAGTTGTCAGAAAAAAAAGAAAAGGACTTAAAACACATCAGCTAGCAGATAGAAACGTAAGTTAGACTTTTGAAGAAAGTAGAGAGACGCAGACCTGATACAAGAACAGAAGTAAACCATGTGCGAAGTGAACCCATCGTGGAGGAGGAGAATCCAACTGTGGTGAATATATCTGAGACAGGTAAACAAAAATGCTTAAAGTCAAATCCATATGCTTAACGCCGACTCTTTCACCACTTGACGAGACTAAAGAGTTATGAACAAAGACATAAATCACTCACGTAGCCAAGCAGGGAAGATGTGACTAGAAACATGAACCCCATAAGCGTTATCTGCAAAAAAAACAAAACACAAAACCAGAAGTTTTAACTCAAAAAGTAATGACAATACCACATAGAGCAAAAATGGAGATTGGAGAAACAGGAATCACTTATATACCATGTTTGGTCTGGATATGGTCAAAGTACAGTAACAGAGAGAAGAACACCACATGAAAAGACAAAAACACATAAAAGCCAGTTAACTACATCAGGTAAAACTCAAACAAAGAGCATGACTTTGTAATATACCCCAAATGAAAAGAATACTTTAACTTACGGCATCCAAAGAGGGAAGACTTTGACAAAACGAGTCCAAAAGGGTTGAAGGACGTATTTGGCAAGATAAGAGTGATCAACTCCACTGTATTTGTACCTATGAAGAGCTGCCACACCATGTGCTCCTATGTAACCCATTCTTCTCCAACTCTATCTACTACTGCAGACACAGAAAAAACAAACATATCCTCAATTTCAAATTCCCAAAACGGGTATCCAAATTTCCAGCTAACTACAAACTAAAAAAACGTTAAAGCATGGATCTTTGAGTGTCTCACTACCACTTTTCAGATTCCGTAAACACTAAAAAGAGCAAAACTTTGCTTGAACTGAGACGGGACTTTACAGATTTGTATAGAATCTCAGTTTGGCTCTTTTGCTACAATTGAAAACAAAGAACACAGGAGTATTTACTTACAACGGTTCCGGTGGTTTGTGGCAGCAACAAAATAAAAGACAAACCTTTTTTGAGTCTCGGTGTCCGAAAAAGAGAGAGAGAGATGAGATGTCTGTCACCCGCACTCTTTGGCCCTATAAGAAGGGCGAAGCAAGACAGAGGGGGACCAAAAGCTAAAAAGGAGAAGGCTTTGCGTTTCCTCCGCGTTTCCCACACGCGTCTACCTTATTTCCTTTCCACTTTTGTTGTTTCTCTTTAAATTATTTTTTTTTACACAACTACTCGGTTTCAAAATGGTGTTAAGGAAACTGAAAGTTAATAGTACCTTCACTATCTTTGCTGTAATGTGAAAAGACATAAATGAAGTTTGAATTTCTTGCTTTACGAATTGATGTGTATAACAAAGTCTCTGCAAGACTGCAACCATTTATTAACTCTTTGGTCAGACTACATTAAAAACTTCACGTCCATCATTATTTTCAGAACCCTTAATTGAGCAAATGAACATACACACAGAGAGTTAAAACAGAGACTCAATCTTGAAGGAAGAGTAACTGTGCTCGTGGAGAGACACGCGGGAACCTGAGCAATTCCACAACCATATCCATTCTCGCTTCTTTATCTGACAAACTCGATGTTACAATAACCGTCTCCAGAACTGGTGAAGTTCCCATCAAGAATCTTATGAACTCCAACTCATTCCTTATCCCAGAAACGTCTGTCATCCTCACCGTTTCTAGCCTCGGGAGTTTGTAGTCAAAGTAGTCTCTTTCGAAAAGGTCGAAACTTTCTTCTTCTAAAGGAAATAGTTGTATTGGTGAAGCCTATAACAAATCCAAACATAGATGATGATGAATTGTAGAATAGCAGATAAAACTTTGAAAGAGAGTGTTAACAATTTTACATACCGAAACTTTGAGCTCTTTAAGGTTAGGAGAGTGAGTGACCAAACGAAGAAGAACTAGTACCTCATTGGCATCTTCAAAACTTACTTGGTATAGTTCTATTGTCTTAAGATGAATGTAAGTAATTGGAAGCCTTCCCGGGTCATCTCCTATGCTCAAATACTGAAACCAAATAAAGATATATAAGTAACTTTATCATCCACCATGATTTCCCCCAAAGCAGAAGTTACCTTAGTGAAGTAAATATAACCGACAAGTTTCTCAAGAAGGGGCACACCACCAAGGAACTTAACGAGATTATAATCCGAACTCTGCTCAAAATCAGCAACATCCTCATGCATATACATCGAAACCGATATCGCAACCAGCTTAGGCGTGTTCACCAGGAAAATATCTTTGAACTCTCCATCTAGATACAAGTACATAAGATTCGGAGCTGATATACTCAAAACCAAACTATCAAAATAAGACAAAGACAAGAACTCCAGAACCGGACATCCAGAGATCAAACTCTCAATCGCCTCAGGAGAAACCAGAATCTGATGAAGGTTAAGACTCTTGAGAGACGCAAACCCATTAAAAGACTTAGGAGGGTCGAACTCGCAGTGACACAACTCCAAACGCGTCAGTTTCAAACAGTTGAAGAGACAAGAAGGAACTCTAAACTCTCCTTCACCTAACTCAAGAACCAGCTCCTTGATGTCGTTTCTCGAGAGGAAGAGCAGCCACTGGTCAATGTCTGGACGGCATTGCAGGAAGGAAGTGGAGAGGTGGAACTTGTGGATGGGGCCTTGGTGAAGGAGGAGCACTCCGGTGATGAATCTAACGAGATTGGTCTCAACCACGGCGCGTTCAGTAGAAGGAGCGACGCATTTTTCGTCGAATGTGAGGTCAGTGAGTGTTGACCATTTGTATCTCCATTTGGTTGATAAGACGCTTGTTCTGATTGCGTCTCTTAGGGAAAGACGAGTGAGAATGTTCTCAAGTATGCTTTGTGGTAGATCGCTTATAAGATCCAGAGATTCACCCATCTAATTAAACATGGTACAGAAACAAAACCAATGCTCATTACATTACATGAAGACATAAAACTAAACAAACACAAAAAAAGTCATTGCATTTAAATCTCAACCTAGAGAAAGGAGAAGACTTTGGTCTATCAAAAGGCTTAAAATTTCGATTCCAAGAGGCTTAAACCCTAATCAAGCCTTCTAAATTCCACTGAGAAGATAAAGATTCGACCTTTGGACCAGGAAACAGGGGATAGATTGCAATGCAACGAAACTGATTTAACACAGAAAGAAGATTTAAAAAAAATTGAACCTTTTTTGTTCTCGAGCGGTGGTTGGTAAGGTCGTTGATCGATGAAGTTTCAGATAGGGAGGAAACAACAAAAGATCTCAAATTTTGATCTCATCATGTCTTTTTACCTTTTGCAATTAAATCTGCGCTTTTGGCTTAGAGACTTTTTTTATTATTATATATCTCGCCGCAAAGATCACGTTACATTTATATTTTGTGAATTAAGAAGTTTGATTGGGACTTTTATTGTAGTGTAATGACTTGTATTGGGGGTCTAATGAAGAGATTGACTTACATACAGATTGGAACCATGGGCTTGAGGCCGATAAGTTTGGCACTATATGAGGTTATACTTTCTGTAACATTAGGCCTGGCATCATACCTGAAACCCGAACCCGACCCGAAAAAAATGTATCGGTTCGGTTTAATAAAATTGAGAAAATCTGATAGGTATTGAATTTCTGATACTTCGGACATTGGGTTCGGTCGGCGATGCGTCCCGGTCGGATGCGGAACGGAGTTAGTCCGATAACCCGATTAGTATTGATTTTATGATACATTGGACTATGGGTTCGGTACGGTTCGGTATAACTCGAAATAACCGAAAATACATTGATTATGTGTTTAGGGAGATTCATGTATAGGGAACACGCGTGTTACTGTTTACGATTTCCAAAATCAAAACGGCTAAGGAGAAAGTGGCGGCAGAGGAAGCGATTCCTCTTCTTCCTACCTAGATCTCTAATTCTCTATTCTAATCTTCTATTTAATCGATTCCATGATGTTTAGTCTCGATCTCACACTCTCTCCACCATCTGCGATTTCGAAGAATCAATCACAGGTTAATCAAAATCTTTCTTCTCTCTCTGTTATGAGTCACGGTTTAGAGTCTCTGTTTTGCGTTTTAGTTGTGATGATCTATACATGAGATAGAAACTCTTTTATGAAACTTGTTACTCTTACTTTGTATTTTGAGATTGTGATTGATTAGGAATGTAATTTTTTGCTCTTTTTTTTTGCGTTTTCAGATGGGTTAATCTTCAACCCCAAACATTGACAACATCAATGATTTGTTTGATGAAGAACCAGAGTTTCCTACTCCGGACAGTAGAGGCAAAAATAAACAGGTTGTGAGTCCAGACAGTAGAGGCAAACGTAAAGAATCACCTGAAGCTAGTGGAGCAACATTTCAGACACAAAAAGCGCCGAGGTATCTTCCTACACAGTCTAAGATTTGGGGCCATTTCACAAGAACGAAGGAGAATCGTGACAAATGTATATGTCACTACTGCAACAAGACCTTTTGCTGTGCTACAAGATCAGGCACATCCAACTTGATGAAGCATCTTAGCATATGAAAACGCTTCATGTTGTTTTAGGAGGGTCAAAGCTCTACTCAGCCTGGCGTCAATGAAGAAGGACAGCTGAAGTCTAGAAAGATAAGTGATGCTACTTTCAGAGAAGAAACAAATGAGATGATGGTGATAGCAGAGCTACCACTGTCTTTCATTGAAGGTGATGGTTGGAAACACTTCTGTAACAAGGTCAGTTATATATTAATTAGATGATTCGTTAGTTAAGTTTGGTATCTATGTTTCGTTTTATAATTGCAGATGGAACTAGGGAAACCAGTATCAAGAAGGACATCAACAAGAGACATTATCAAGATGTATCTACAGAGCAAAGCTGCTATGAAACAATGGTTTTAAGCAAATAAGCAAAGGGTTTCATTAACTACTGACATATGGGTGGCTCAAGTAACTCGTAAGCAACTACTTGCTAACTTAGCTTTCGTGTTTACTGGTTTGTTTTTTTTTTATAAGAAAATAGTTAGACTAGTTAGTTTCCATAGCTTTTGTGTTTACTTTGATCCATAAGCAAATATTTTCATAATTTTATTTGATTTGTTTGATTTGATTTCAGGTGCAAGCTACATGGTTGTGACTGCTCATTACATTGATCCATGTTGGCGATTGAAGAAGCTTATCATTGCGTTCAAGCACGTCACTGATCACAAAGGATCGACAATTTCGAAGGTATTGTTAGATTGCTTAGCTGACTGGGGTATTGAGAAGGTTTTTTGTGTGACAGTGGACAATGCGACAGCCAATACATCTGCATTGCGAAGGTTTCACGCTGAGTTCTCTGTGGTGTCTAACGAAGCCCTGTTTCTAAAGGGTGAAATGATGCATTTAAGATGTAGTGCACATATCATCAACCTCATCGTGAAGGATGGAATGGCTGAAGCAAATGAGAGTGTCAATGTTGTCCGTAATGCTGTGGTCTACGTTAGAGCTTCTGGAAACAGGATATCATCATTTGAGCAGAGGATAGATGCTGGTAAAGTGACTAGGGGAAGTTTGCCATTGGATGTGACTACTAGATGGAACTCCACCTATCTGATGTTAATCACTGCCATGAAGTTCAAGGTTGCTTTTGAGAAAATGGAGCAAGAGGATAAGTTGTACAACGATTACTTTCTGGAGATGGAAAAAGGTGTAAAGAGGATAGGTCCTCCTCAGTTCACAGATTGGAAAGCTATTGAAAGGTTAAGCCGGTTCTTAGTCATCTTCTACAACTCAACTCTGATTGTTTCTGCCTCAACCTCTCTCAATGCTTACAAGGGCTATGGGGAAATCGTAACCATAGCTACTAACCTGATGGATTTGACACATAGCAGAGACAAATCATCTTCAGGTAAAGGCAGAGGAGATGTATCAGAAATTCGACAAGTACTGGGATGGGATAAAGAATATCAATAAGATATTGATTGTGGCAACTGTTTTTGATCCCACGAAGAAGATGGATCTTGCATCCATGTGTTTTGAAGAGCTTTATGGGCATGACAGTTTGGAAGGTAAAGAAATGTATGATTCTGTGGTCAGTGTCTTGCGCAGTTTGTTCAAAGAGTACAGTGATAGATATGGGAAGAGTCAAGAAGAGCAATCTGATCACTCTAAAAAATCAAAGGTTCAAGCCTCTCGGTGTGTGGAAGAAGATGGTTTGGTTGAAGATGGTTTCGGGTATAAGAGGATTGATCGAAGGTATAAGCAGAAGTTGAATGAAGGAGTGAAAGACAAGCGTGATGAGCTTGATATTTATTTGAAAGAAGAAGTTGAGAATCCCGAGTTACTGGTTGGTGTAGAGTATGATGTTCTATCATATTGGAAGAGAAACAGTTCCAAGTTCCCGATTCTTTCACTAATGGCAAAAGATGTTTTGGCCATACAAGTCTCCTCTGTTGCATCCGAGAGTGCTTTCAGCACAGGTGGAAGGATCATTGAGCAATCTCGGAGCTGTCTTACTCACTTCATGGTAGAGGTGTTGATGTGTACCGAACAATGGCTAAAACAAGACATTCAATGTGATTCAAAGGTGCTAACTAATGTACAAATCCTTGAAGACATTGCAGAGCAAGAAGATTGAGAGAGGTATGTTTATTTTGTTTTTAGTTTGTTTGGTGAATTTGTTTCTTTATATAATATTTTTCTTATTTGTTTTTTTCTCTTTACATCAGAATTAACTGGTTCAATTGCTCAGCCATAAGTGTAAGGTAAAATATCTTGTCTTTGTTTTATGTTCTAGTTAAGAAGAAACATGATGGTGATAGTCTTAGAAATCGAATAAGTTCTTGTATGTGCTTTATGTTCTAGTTAGGAAGGAACATAATAATTTAGTCCTAAGAAAACTGTTGTCATTGTGTTTGTCAGGAGTAGAAGGTTCCTAAGAAGCCTCACTTGGTCGTGGATTCGTGGACGTGATCCTAAGAAGCTTTACTCTTTGTTTTATTTTCAAACTGGTGTTTTTATTTCATTGAAACTTGTTGGAATGTTGTTTTCGGATGTTGTTTTTTTCATGCTCTATTTGTTTTTGGATGTTGTTTTTTTCATTTGGATTTAAGTTAAGCAATGTTGTTTTTGGATTTATTAAGCTAAGGAATGTTGTTTTCTGTTTTAATGGAATTTAACTCTCGGTTTATTTAAGGATGATGTTTTATAATTTTTCTTACAAAAATTTATATTTCACTTCAGTATATCCCGAACCGAACCGAAAAAATCTGAACCCGTTTGATATTTGATTATTTTACGGGTTTTACAATGCAATACAATATTTAACCAAATCCGAAGTGATATTACCCGAAATCGACGTTTTAAATAAATATTAGAATGGGACCTTTTAGCCTAAACCCGAAAACCCGAAAATCCGAATAACCCGACCCGAACCCGAACCGATAACCCGAACGCCCAGGCCTATGTAACATATTTGATTAGCTCAATTAGTTCAAGTAGATAAAAAGCTCAATTGAGCTAATCAAATATTTGATGGCTGGTCCATACTCAGTAGCACCGAGCAGCAGCTCATGCGCTTTGTATCATAAGGTTACAATGCGACTTGTCAGGTGGAGATCTTCATCACCCTTTGTAAAAATTAGCCAAACCAAAATCACCAATCTTAAAAACACGTTAAAGTATTAAAACCTATATTGATAACAAAAAGACATTATATAGCTTTTCATAAAAGTTAAGATGTGATATCTTTTCCTGGGTAGTACGACCTAGGCGGAGAAAGGTAGCGGAGACCACGGCCGATTACATAATTGAAGGTTGACATATTCGAAGGCTGGTTAAAAGCTGTGGCGTTCAATTTGGGAGTGACTTAATAAGAGATACGGATCTCAATATTTGTTTGAGGAACTATATATACTAGGACGGATCTTTTCAGAGATGAAATGGTACCATCATACACGGTTCGCATCGGCTCTTTGGGTGATCCCATCACGGCAGCTCCTCCTTTCTTCTGAACCTTGATATAGATCCGTAAGGGAGACGAAGAGATCGAGGCCCAATAAATAAAACAAAAGATCAGCCTGAAGAAAAACAACATACAATGCAAGAAAAGCGGTAGATGGCTTGAAGAACAACACGTATGTTGAAACAAAACGGAGGTGGGCCCAAACCCTACATCCCAAATGAGACCCAAAAGCCCAAATGGAAAATAAATAAATAAATGCACGCACTATGTTTCGAACCCCCACATTCGCGGTACAAACTTCTTGTCTTCAACTTAAACCACTCATCCAAATCTTTATTCGTTGATAACATTCAATCTTAAAAAATCTTAGACGTTTTTGTTTCCCTAATAACACAGGCGCGGAGTCCACTCGACTGCTGACGTGGATAGCCTTAAGAGTTTCAAAAGTGAATCATTATTATATAGATTTGGAGCTTTTCATACAATTTTTTGTAAAATATGCTTACAGACACTTGTATGAAGTCAACAATAGAAAGTAAGAACATAAATATACACTTTTTTTTTCTTTTGTCAGCTATCCATCTACTATCATTGATAAAAAAAACGTTATTGATACTAAAATGATCCAAAACTATAATGATAAACTATGGTTTCTTTTGTCATTTTGGTTTCAAATCACAACCATTGGAGAACTAAAATTCTGGACATGGACCGATAACGTAAGCTATTAACACCTGGTTAGTCTGAATCCATGCATAATTCAAAACAAAACAAAACTAATACATTACATTACAATACAGTTATTGAATATGTTCAATGTACAGTTCAATAAAAGAATTTGCTATTTGTTAAGAGGGGGTATAATGTGATGTAACACTTCACATGCTTCTCCTACCTCTGTGATGTATCCATCCTAGTACTCACTTTCACCTTCAGAATCTGCAAAAGAAGAAGACAACTTTGAAAATCTCTTCTTGTTTTGGATGGTGTAGAGAAACCATAGTTTATCATTAGAAACTAAGATTACCGGATATGACATCTTCGCTAAGCTAGCCTTTATCTTGTATTTGTTTCACAAGCGCCCGATACATCAAAACTCACCAATATATATGTGAAGAACAAACAGGCAATTAAAGACAAGTGTTGAATATGTAGTAGTAGAGTGGTCCTTCCTATGTCTTTGTGGAGAGGAAAAAAAGGATCACCTTTATTGGATGGGTGGGAGCTTCAGTGCACGCCAAAGCTGGATCGTTCAAAATCTTCCTTGAAACTTCTGAGTCGTCTAGAGTCTTCTATGTTCTATAAGCTGGATTTACAACTCCAACAACAACTTATACAGTTTTATATCTATCGTTTGGTCACTCGAATGGTTTGTAGATTCTAGATTGTAAGAAAATTACTCTACAAGTTTAGAGCAAATTTGATATACATTAGCGATTCGTTTCTTTTCGAATAATAATTTCCTTTTTAGACTGATTTAATTATGTAAATTGCAAACATAATTGTATAATTATTGGATAGTTATATACTCCCTCTGTTTCATTATAAGTGTCACTCTACAATTGTGCACACGGATTAAGAAAACAATTAATTTTACATATTCTCTATATAAAAACACAGTTACCCATACACCTAACCATATTTTAACCAATAGAAAAACAAATTACATAATAAAAGTAATAAATTTTGCATTGAAAACCGAAAACGACACTTATTTTGTAACGCAAAAAATTCTCTACAACGACATTTAATATGAAACGGAGGGAGTAGTATTGAAGCTTATAGTGGCATAAAAGATGATGAATATAATATATAATATTTGAATCTCAATTAATTCGTCTCATTATTATGTTTCGCACTCGTTAAAGCTTTGTCAACACATGTTCGCTCGTCGGTGATTATACTTACTCAAACCTTCTTCTTCTCATTTTTCTATAAGTTTAAGCTCTAAAGTAATACTACTATAATTAGTTAAGAGTTAGTTTTTTATTAGCATCAATCTTATGTCCAACTTCGTATTTTTAAAGTAGTGTGGCTGAGTTAGGAATAAAAAAAGAACAGGTCCATGGTGTTTCGATATATCGAAGGTCACATTGAAACAAGAAAGAAGAGGTGACGTCTCCAAGGAGAATTGAAAGCATTGACCCCAAGATGCCAAAATTTGACTCTCTCTCTTTCTGCTCCATCGATCTTTCCGTGTTCTTCAGAAAAAACCCATTTCTCCATATAGCATTTATGATATATCCAGCCGCATCTTTATTATTTAATCATAAAATTAAAGTCAAATGTCTCTGTATAATAATGGCTTTCTTTTTTTTTTTTTTTTGGGCAACAATAATGGCTTTCTTTGAAAGGGAAAAGAACATTTTATTACTGTCTTGTCTTCATATCTTAGAGAGAAGAAGAGAAAGACAAAAATAAATAAAAATGAAGACTAAGAGTACATCGTTGATCATCATCTTCTTCTCTTTAGTTCTGCTTCTAAGCATGGCCTCAAGTGTTATTCCAAGAGAAAATGGTTTTTCTCCTCCGAAACTATCTCCCTTTTCCACTCAAGTAAGTTCGATAATGCCCTCATGTTTTCTTCTTCTTCCTTTTTTTTGTTAAAAATATATAGAGAAAAAAAGAATTTTAACCAATTTCTTCTTCTTCTTCTTCCTGCTAAAATCAGAAGTTAAGATCTTCTTGATTCCTAAAATTCATTGAATGTATAAATGATAGATTCGAGTAGTTTTACTTCTTTTGTCTTTTTTGTGGAGCTAGGAGAAAGAAGGTGATGGAGATGGAGTAGGATGCAAGAGTTCAGACAGTGAAGAAGAATGTCTTGTTAAGAAAACCGTAGCTGCTCACACCGATTACATCTATACACAAGACTTAAAGTCATCTCCTTGAAACAAGAACAAGAACTCTGTCTTTTATATACTACAACTCTACAAGCTATAAGCATAAGTAAACTCTCCTTGACCATGTGCTCATGACTTCATGTTCCTTGTTATTTTATTCTAATCTTCGTTTGATTTCTGTTAGTGTCAACTTATATTTATCCTTCAACGCCAACTTTATATAATTTGTGATTTGTCGTCAGGGACAACATAGAGTTAAACCGGGCTTGACGACCAACAAAAAAGTTTAAGTGGGCTGTTTAGAAAATAAAACTAATTGGGCTTATGGCCCTTGCGTGGCAGGCTCAAATTCAGGATTCATCTTTTATGGGAAAACCATGCAAAATGTTTTTTGTTTAACCATGCAAAATGTTAAAAAGGAAGAGAAGATACAAACGATAACCATAATAGTATGGTATTGGTTACTATATAGGTACGTTACGCTTGTGGAGACAATACTAAACTATGATGTTTAATTATGAACGAAAGTCTGTGTTACGTAAAAGGTACGTTTCGTATATAGACGAAGTGGTGACTAATCTGATCTGACAATAAATTATATATGTTTACACATAGTTATCATTTTGTTTATTAAAGATTGATATTGATATGTTCAAAAAAAAGATTGATACTGATGATATACTAAAGTACACTATTAATTTTAGTATGTAATTATTATTAAGAAGACTTATTAGCAAATGAACTAGTTCCAATATTACGATACGATAAATGAACAATTAATGAAAAATGCATTTTAATTATGTTAGGGGGATGATATTCTTTATAACAGTGCTTTTTTGTTAATCCTTTTACTATTCTCTTATAAATTAGTCTCCAGTTTGTTTTATATACCCTTTTTTGCAGAGGCACTATCACCAGGAGCCTCCACCTCTCTTTGTCTTGTTTCATTTCAACAACCATCCACTATTTTAAAATAGTCTATACTCAACATTTGACACAAGAAGATTTTATATGCAACACACATGCAAAAAAAGTGAAATCCAATCCAATATGAATCCACTTTCAGGGAGAAAAACGGCATGTTATCTCTCATCTCTATCAAGAAAGTACACTCTTTTTGCTAAGAATGTAAATTACATTACGATAGTAATGTGGATTTGGATTACAAGGAAAACCTGAACGGCTCGAGAGCTGGTTCAATTCTAAATCCCCAAAAAGTTAAAAAGGACACAAAGCATCATATATAATTCTAAACTGTTTTTTTTTTTAAAGTGGTAACGCTAAGAATGCTATTTTTGTTTCATTTGATTAACTAGTAACAATATTAGGCATATATTATTTGTTTCTTTTCTCTTAACGTGGTTATCTTTATCGTCATGAATCCTTAAGCGATGTTTACATTCTATTATCTATAATGAATAATATATTTATACTTTACGAATACCAGATAATCTCCTATTGTAATATTAACAAATAATATGTTAGGCTTCGATAGATTTCTTTGGGAAATAAGTTTCCAATATGTTGCATTTAAACAATATACAGTATATATCATATAAATGTTTATTGTTTTTTCTATTTCTCGACCAATCTAATTATATAAAGTAAGCTTTTCATCAATTCTGTGATGCCACGTCACTAATTACTCAACTGTGAGTGTGACATCTGTCCCGACCTATGAAACTTTGCGTTTCAGTTTTCTTAAAATAGAACTAGGCTTCGTTTGATTATTGAGCCTTTAGTCGTAACACAAAAAATGGCCCGTCACAGCAAACTGAATTTCCCATACCCCTCAAGAAATTAGGGTTCATATTCTTGCTTTGTTCATCGCCGCCTTTGCAGAGAGGTAGAGTTATTTGCGCTTCCTTGGCGTCCATTCCCTTTCCATGGCAACAGAGGAATTCTTCACCTATAAACAACGTTGTTGGCTTCAATGAAACTCATCAATCACACCAAATAATTCTATACATTCTAATAGAAGCTTAGGTACCATGGATAGCCACCTCTCTGCTACTTTTCTTCTTTGAAATCCGGTTGATGTGCTAAAACTGTTGACGCGCGACTGCGTCGGTTCTGGGAGGCGCATAACGTGAGAAAAGAAAGAGAGCTCATCGGAGTAGACATGCTCTTCATATAGTAGACACCTTTTCTGATTTAAGCTCAATTGCTTCCACCGAGTTCTTAATTTTGTATTAATTTAAGTGATTCTTATTTAGGTTCCGTCAAGGCTAACCGGCTGAGAACTTTTAGACAGCCGTTACATGAGGTTCACAGAGAAACAACAACTTTGAACTCTCTGACTTTCCTCTCTCCATACTCTTCTATGAGCTGACGGCTTTCGTCGAGTTAATTAGCTCCGTTAATTCAATACCTACGGAGATGACAAGGTTCGGCAAACACAACGACCTACTTACATTGGCAAACACCAACGCCCACCTATCCGGTTTGTTTCTTATCTTTTGTAGATACAGATTCCCACTCTAACATTAAGCTTAAGACATGTAGAAGTATATTCTTGATTAAAAAAAAAAGAAGTATTGTTGATACTGTTTTGCTGAAATTTTCATAATTTGTGAATCTCTCAAGTCTCTTTTGATATATGATAGAGGTAACAAATACAGTTTAGTTCATTTCATGAACAATTCTAGATGCAATATTACTTTGAAGAAGTTAGAACATCTCATCTCTCTTGCTGCGAATTTTAAATCTTTATCTACTCTTAATCTTGCAAGATACTTTGTGATAGGTTACAGTCTAAAAGTCTTACCTTTAAGCTTTTGTTAGAGTCTTGAAGGACTTTCTTTGCATAGCTACCACCTGGTTGGAGCACCAGGTTTTATGGCGATGTCAGTATATCACTTGGGGTGGGGGAGGTAAAGCAAACTGCAACTGGCGTTTAACTGAGTGATTATACCTCAAACAATTCGTTTTGATGTTAGCTTTTTGCAATAGCTTGGTTGAGCTGGATTTGAGAGGATGCAAGAACTTGACAGATTTAGTGTTGTTTTCTCTGAACAAAAGCTGTGTGAAGTTGAGGAATCTAGAAATTCCAAGTTGTCGATTGATTCGGGCTGCTGAATTGGAAGGTTTTGTTATGAAGTCACAATGCTTGAAGAAGATTGTAGTCGCAGAGGACAAGATTACTGATGCTGCCACTAAATGAGCTTCTGGGAAGTTAATTGCAGTTGTTGCTCTTGATTCAGTTGCTCCTTGGTAGTTACTTGGGTTAGTATTTGAACAATAACTGTCTGTGAAGTATATAAGTTATTAAATGTAAATAGTTTCCAGTTTGTTTAGCTCTGCTTTGTTTCAGTTTTCCCTTTCACTAATACAAAAATTTATAAGATTTGGTTGTCTTAATTATAAACAGCTTCAGCAAAGTGCATATATTGAGACTATGGTTTCATTGTAACATAATCAAGAATTGATGCTTTTTTATGGGTAATTAAAAGCTTAAACTTAGACCCGTTTACACTAAAAATGACCCACAACATTAAAATACAGATCCTTCAGCCAAGATAAAAATTAATAACAATTTAGAGAAGATATGTGGTTAACGAGTTTAACGATGGGTGAAAGAGACGAAGCGGGGCCTGAGGAAAAATTCAGGAAAAAACTGAGAACATTTTTGATAATAGTTTTATTAACTTATAAAACTAATTTGCTTTTATACATTTATTATATTTATATTTAATTATAAATAGTTTCTATAAGAGCATCAAATAGTGTTATGTAAAAATACTTATATTTATACTTTGAAACTATATTATTATTTAAATTAAAAATATTAAAATTTTAATATACAGATTATTAGAGTGTATAGTGAATTATTTATATGAATGGTTAAATTTAATATAAACTGACGAATTATACATTTCTAAATCAATAAGAACAAAAATAACTTAAATATATATAAAACTAAAGAAATAAACAAAATCAATATATAATTTTTTTAAAACATTAAAAAAACAAATCTTAACAAATCTTAACTTATAAAATCCCTTATAACTTTATGGAAAGTAAACTTATATGCCTTAGATTACAAAATCACAAATAGCAAAATGATCAATTAAGCCAATTAAACTTTTAAGGATGAAACCTAAATAAACGATGACTCGCTTACGTGACTGTAAAGATCATTATATTGTAGAATACAAGAGTATTTTCATATCAACGAGGGCATAACTTATCTCTCCATATATAGCAGACCAAAGGTTTGTATGACAAAGCTACTTACCTATATAGTAATGTTATGTATGGAAAAGTCTAAGACTGGTTAGCCAATGTTAGATAAACTTGGATGGAAATTAAAGAAACAAGATTAACAATTCCTATAAACGCATCAAGAAATCACTCTGTAGAGTTATCATAACTATGCTTGACTGTTACATGACAAATTATAGGAAAAGCAGAGCAACAATCATATATTACCATTACAACTTTGAAAAACCAGTGTGACACTGCCTCTATTTAGCAAAATATGTTAGCTAATTGTCTTAGAGTATTATTTAGAACTCATAACTAGTATAAAATTATTTCAACTACTTTAACAATAACATAAAAATAGTTATCAAGTTTAGAACATAATTAAAGACAAACAGTTAACAAGTTTGTACGGAAAAAAAATTTACATTCCAATTTTACATAAATATAAACAATGATACACCCATATTCTCCACAATGCACATACAAAACTACAACATTTCCAAAAGAATCATATAACATAGAGGTCAAAACCAAAGAAACAACACAAACCAATACAATTACAAACAAACTTTAATATTTTTGACAAAATATTAGTAAATTTATATAAAATATTTTTTAGTATACCTTTCCGCCCGTAGGGCGGGCCAATACTAGTAGTATATATACTGAAGTTTATTCAACTCTTCGCATAATTATCTTTAACTGTAGAAGATACCAGTCGAATAATTCCATCTCCAACCTATGAAAAAAAAAAAGAAAAGTTAAATGTAAAGAATACCAAATATTTGGTGGAGATGCGTTAATTTGTTTTCAGTAATGTTCTATGATATACATCTCTTCATTTGATTTTGATGTGTCTTGATTCAGAAAAATATTTATGCGCCACAACAAAACTTTGAAGAATTAATTTCTAGGTGGGTTTGTAAGATCGAATTAGCAATGCATATATTAGTGGCTAAATATATAATACAATTATAGCTAGTTCATAGGAAAAAGGGCTAATGATTAAATGGTTGATTAAAATTATAAAAAGATGTCCACCACTTCTAGCAATCGAGT